TTAAAGCCAGGAGGGGGAACCGAAGTCCAGATCTCAGTGAGTCGGCAAATACACCGACACAACCTGGAGGTGGACACGTGATCCTTTCGCCTGGATATGGAGCAAACAACTTAACTGACGAAGGGATATACACTTCTCCTCGAAGCATAACGATATCGGCATCGGTAAGAATACTCGGTTCGCCCCTATACTCGTCAATTGGCTCCGGCCACCGACGAGCAGGACGTCTCCAGTAATCCGGAAGCGACATAGCGTCCTCTTCGACTCGCTTGTCCTCATCGACGATATCCCTATTGAGATTGAGACTCTTTACCAAAAGGGGATCCCACCGATAATACTCCAGAGGCAATTCCAAATCCTCATCGGTAAGGATCGGAATATCCGAAATCGTTCGGCTACTGCTATCCTCAGTTTGTGCAGACATCATTCTTCGAAATCGACGAAAAATACAGGAATAATTCGAAATAGAACAAGAAAACAAGAAAGATTAGGGCAAACTCTTACCGAAACTTTCGAAGAACTCTGAACTGACGAAAAGATCACAGGAAAAAAGCGAGTGTACAAGAAAAGTACGTAAAGAAAAGGTTGCTGAAAGAACGCAAGAAAAATCGAAGAAGCTAAAGGTACAGAAATTTTTTGCGCCCCAAAACCGACTTCAATTTATAGGTTTTGATTTATGACCGTTAGAAGCATCCGGAAACGGCGCGTGTAACGGACGCATCTTCAAGGGACATAACGTTACAGTAATTATTATTCTACGTGGCCATACCCTGAAACGCCATGTCGTTACAAAATTGTATCCGTTGGGCCCATTTAATGCGGACACGTCTTTTAAGAGCCGCCATGTCAGATCAAATATCGTGAAGTGTCAAGCGGAGCAAAGTGTTCTCATGTCGGTAAATAACGCAAAACAAGTCGGAATGAGGTGAAACAACAAACGACATCAGCAATCATTTAAAAAGCTTCAAATACTTACTGATGTCGGGGGCCTCACTGTTGATATCAAATCCAGTAATCAGAATTAAAGTACCACAAGTCGGAATATATTAGAGCAAATTACCGACTTCCTAAGAATTGCCGATTTCCGAAAGGTCCAACTTCTGACAAAACCTTCAAAAGGATCAAAACCGACATCTGAAATCAACGTGAGTAAACCGACTTCAGGTCAACCGACTACCATAAAGTTTGAGCATTCCAAACAAAAAGTAATCATTAGAAGCATCTGATTGGACCAACGAAACAAAAAGGCAATCATTGATGTTTCCCGCCGCCTCAAAACAAAGCAGCTCAATATTAAATGCATCTCTATCCATTTCGAGGAAGAAGACAAAAGTCACCGTACTATAAATAGCAGAATTTATGATAGTACGAGGATCTGATCTTTTTTCGATCACATGGTACATGAACAAAAGACGATCTCGGTTTTCAGCTTAAAACCGACTTCTGTACTCTTGTGAACACAATCAATAAAATCTAATTAAATAGTTATCCTCATCTTTTGAACATCAACTGTGTTTAATTTTAAGTTGTTAATTCAAGACAGCAACAAATATATAGAGAAATAAATTGAAAATATAACTAATACCAGCCTAATTCTTAATCTACATACGTTGGGTCATAATTAAGGTTTAGACTAATCAAATTCGAACAAAATTGTTTGTGTTTATGAAAATAGTGTTAACTATACTATTCCTTAATCCGATAATATACGCTCTCGAAATCTTGAGCTTCTAATTTTTAATTAAACTATGCCCCGATATAAAATTAAATAAAAAATGTTGTATTTAACAACTCAAAAACTGATTACTTTATTATATTCGGAATTTTATTAACTTGAGTTCTAAATATGACTAAACTATCAATTCGGGTGCAAAATATATATTCTATCGATTTAGGAATCAGGACAAAAATTCAAAAATTATCAATTTATAAGTTCCGGTCTCTATCAATGCACGACTTGAAAGATAAAGACGGGAAGAGTAAAGATCAAGAAATAGACGCCACAAACTAAACTAGGAAATTAACCTTTAGTTTCAACTTTCAATGAGGTGATTTGTAACATGCATGTAGTAAAGGAGGTTAAATTTTATTATTGCTGTTATCACCCCACGTAATTTTCTCTTGTAATCTGTATTTAATTCCATAAATGAAGTCATTAATTGTGCATTTAATGTATGTTTTTTTCTCATAACGGACCAGGCCAAGAAAAAANTAAATTTAGCAAGTATGTAATAATCACAAATCTAATAATTAAGATCTTTCCAAGTTTATAAAAAATATGAAGTTGAATGGGAAATGTCCCCTGAACTAGACTCTCTGCTTATAATAGTATGATTGAGCTAAATTATAACTTGGAATATTAAAGTGAAACTCACAATGCAATACCATTTTTAAATTAAAAACACAAATTCTTGTAAGCGGCTCTTTTAACAAAATACATACGCATACTATAAATTATTATACTTTTATTTATGTTGTTTTTTAAAAATATATAATTTCAACTTAAAAGTATGCATATATGTTAAAAGAGCATGACAGTCTAAGACCAACCTTATTAACTAAATTGAAAATAACACAGTAATTGTACAAATTAATAAAAAAGCCATCTCAATGCCAAAAGTTCTTGCTTTTCTTTACCCCAACATTCACTGAAATCACACCCAACAATTCTCTCATTTTTATTTCCATTTTCTCCCATGCAAGCAAGTTGAACATAATCTTCTCACCCAACTTATGATAGCCAGCTTATATTTATTCAAACACAATGCTTAATTGAGAAAATAACTAATTAGATTCCCTTTTTTTCATGAGGGATCATGGATAGCAAAACAGAGGCTGTCACTGGCAGCATTAATTATTCCGGCCAAACACCACCACCGGAGCCTGGCGGCAGCGGCCACCAGCCAATCAGCTCCGATCATCATCACAGCCGTTATTTTTTCAATCGACTCCTTAAAGTTTTGTTGCTTTTCACAATGATCACTTTAGCATACTTTGTCGTTTTTCAGACACCGGCAAGCCCTTTCCAGTTTTTCCCAACATCTATCTACTCATCTTTTAGCACCCCTGTAAGTTAAAAATTTCTTTTTTCTCATTTAAGCGAGTTGAAAAAATGTACAAAACCATTTTCTTGATTTTTTAGCTATCAGAAATAAATCATCTTTTTGCAAGATCGTGTGACAAATTGTTTTTGCATCTCTAATTATATGTCATTTTAAACCTCAGGCTAATGAAAAAGAGGTAGGTTTGGGGAAAGTACTACAGAAGGCAGCCATGGAAGACAAGACAGTGATCATAACAACCTTAAACGAAGCATGGATTGAGCCAGGCTCGATTTTCGATCTCTTTCTGGAGAGCTTCAGAATTGGGAATCACACACTTTGGCTCCTCAAGCATTTGGTTGTTGTAGCTTTAGATCAGAAAGCATTTCATCACTGCTTAAGGACAACAAATGATCTCCATTGCTATTTTCTCACAACAAAAGGCGTAAACTTCTCGAACGAGGCTCATTTCATGACTCCAGATTACTTGAAGATGATGTGGACAAGGATAGATTTCCTCACAACTGTTCTCCAGATGGGATACAATTTCGTTTTCACCGTGCGTAAATTAATTTTCACGCTAAATGGAATAAATTTACCGATTTGATTACAACGTAATCTGAGTTATTATTGCAGGATGCAGACATAATGTGGCTAAGAAATCCATTCCCACATTTCTACACGGACACGAACTTCCAAATCTCGTGCGATAGTTTTGGCGGGAACTCGACCGACTTGCAAAATGCACCAAACGGAGGTTTTAATTATGTGAAATCGGGAGCTCAAACTATAAAGTTCTATAAATTCTGGTATGAGTCGAGGAAAAAGTATTCGGGCAAACACGACCAAGATGTGCTCAACAAGATAAAGTTCGACCCATTTGTTAAGGGCATTGGACTAAAGATCAAGTTTTTGGACACGGTTTATTTCGGGGGATTTTGCCAGCCGAGCAAGGACTTGAACCTCGTGTGCACGATGCACGCGAATTGCTGTGCTGGCTTGGATAATAAGATTCACGATCTCAGGATTTTGCTCGATGATTGGAAAAATTATACGTCTTTGCAGGAAGATGTAAGGAAAAGAAAGTCGCATTCGTGGTCTGTACCACAATCTTGCGGGTAGCTATCGAACGCTAAATTTTCGAAAATAAGAAAAATTCACCCCTTCACTTGCATTCAAATAGGAAGTAATGTCAATTTTGTGCTAATGCTTGCTTTTCTGTTTTTTTTTTTTGTTTGAATGTGCAGACCACGTTCCTTTCATCATCATAGCCCCAGGAAGAGGAATGGAAGCAGAAGGAAATAAAGAATGATGAAAGCATATGTATTCTCAAATCGTAGACATACATTCAATACATACTGTTGAATGTTAATTCCTTCATTGTTTGTTTGTTGTTTCTTGTTTCTTTTTCCTTTTTGAAATGAGTGTCATTTAATTTAGAAGACAAGTACTTGGATAAAATCACAACTAATTTCATACGTAAATAGAAATAGAAAGAGTTTCATTCTAACCTCCTCCTCCTGATGATAAAGCATGTTCGTGGCCAATGGGGTTGGCCTCTGAGGGAAATTATGTAAAGAGAGAAAAATGCAAAAGGCTTTTCGTCTAATTTTATTTTCCACAATGTCACATTGTTCTCACACCACTTAAGATTGAATTTTTCAGCAAAATAAAATTTTCCACCAAAATTCGTAAAGTAACATTTTCACACGTCAAAAATCGTCACCTCTCTCCCAAAGTTAAGAATCATATCTACAATCATATTAGTTTCTGTATTAGAAACTAACATAAGCAGTCGATGCACCACTAGAATGACCTCTATTACTCAGAGTGGGATCCCTCGCAATTGAAAAGAACAAAAAAATCACGCGGGAGAGAGTTATTAACTCTAGATTTACTTGAGATACTGCCCTTGTAAAGGAATAAATAACTGTTGAATGTATGTTGAGCATCCAGACTTTACATCTTCTTATAACCTCCATCTCCCAACACCATCTCATCTGCTTGCAAATCCTGGAAAGCCTCGACTACACTACTCCATGGTGCTACCAAAAGGCCAAAAAATAGCCGAAGCACAGCAAAGAAGAACAAGAAACATCCAACGCACCGCAGGAAAAAAAAAATAAAGAAAAAAGAAAAGAAAAAGAAGAAGAAATGTTAAGGAAAGAAAGAAAGAAAGCCCTCTAGTGCTAAATGTAAAAAAACTGGATCTGCAAAGTTCAAAATATTTACACTTTTGTACATCAGGTGCAGCTTTGTTCATCAACTGCCACAATGACCTGGGATGCACTTTAGTTGTATTCACAACTCGAAAATCCCGGGAGCCGCTCGACTTTGTTTTAGCCATTAAGCTTGGCTAAANTTGGAATTCACTATTCAGTAACTAACCATGCAAATGTTTTGCCAAGTCAAGGATGGGTGGGAAATTGGACTGAGCATTGCCACTCCCATTTTAGCATATTTCAATTTACTCGTCAAACATAATCGTAACGTTTACATGAAAATTGATGGACTGAAAAAATTTGGCTTCCTACACCAAAAGCTGGAATTGATGATGAAAACATAACATAACCATGCAAGCCCTACCCTTTTGCCATCTGCAGAAGTAAACAGGTCAAGTAATTGATCTGTATTCATCGTGTTCATGCTCGCGTTATCTGAATTAATGACGGCATTTGCTACAGAAACTTTGAACTTCTGGAGGCTCATAACTTTCTCCTCCAAGGTCCCTCGCATGATAAGACGATGGACATTCACAACCTTGCGCTGGCCTAACCTGTGTGCTCTGTCCATGGCCTGCAAGTCATGCCCAGAAAAAAAAACATAAGTTTTTTAAAAGTCAGTCTCTTTCAATTAAAAAGGCAGGATCTTTTCACAATAGGAAACCAAGAAAACATGAAGTACATGAATGAACTCTCTCATATGTATTAGTTTCATTTATTAAAGAAAGTGTTCGATCAAACTTCAGGCCATATGTTCTGCTAAAGTTGGTATTGCCCCATTATGAGCAACACTAAATCACCAAATAAATGAAGGCATAATGATATAACTTCATTAATAGTTGAGATGAAAAAAAGACGCACTAGTCAGCAATTGTATCTCAGAACTGTTAGAAGTTATGTTTGTCTCACATCAATTAGTTACTAAGTTGTTATTGTGTATAAGTGTGGGTTGGGCACCCTCTCCTCTCCTGTTGAGCTAGCTTTTGGGGGATAAGTTCTACCAGGCCCATTACAAACAAAATGTCATCAATGATTCTCTTAATAACACATGCATAATCTTACTCTAAATTATCTAAACGCCTATCGGTTAAGTGATTGATCAGAATTGACAATCAATTCTTCCTTACCCCATCAGTTAAACCAAAACCTGGGTAATAA